GTCCAGCGACTAGTATGAGAGAGTGAGAGTGATAACACTAAATTTAACACACCTGCTCCTCCTTCACACCTGAGACCTTGTACCACTAACGAGTCACATGACACCAGGGAGGGAAAACGGCTACTTGGGCCCCATTTGGCCATTATCACTTAGGGGTGTACTCACTTTTGTTGCCAGCAGTTTAGACATTAATGGCTGTGTGTTTCGTTATTTTGAGGGGACAGCACATTTACACTGTTATACAGGCTGTAGACTCACTACTTTACATTGTAGCCAAGTGTCATTTCTTCAGTGTTGTCACATGAAAAGATATAATTAAATATTTACAAAATGTGAGGGGGTGTACTCACTTCTGTGATATACTGTAGCAGTCCACATCTGTTTCTTGAAGCTTTTCTGTCAAATAAAACAGCTGCTGTTAAAAGCTTAATAGTGTCTGTGGTGTTTAACTTCACTTCACAAGTCCACTGAAGAATAAACCTCCACTTTGAGTTCAACATCTGGCACCAATAGGCCACCATAGTGTCTTCAGTACCTGTGATAAAAGTCAATGGTACAAATCTTGTACACAGTGCTTGAAAAGAAGGGGTCCAGATGTATTATCGAGTTGTGTCTCAGGAGGTAGAGCTGGACTTGTCCCAACGGCAGGGCTGGTGGTTCGATCCCTGGCTTCCCCAGCCCACATGTTCATGTGTCCTGGGCAAGACACTGAACCCCAGGCTGCTCCCAGTGGCCATTGCTGTGGGTGTGTGATTGTATGTATCAGTGTGAACTGGATGAACGGGCAAAATATTATAAAGTGCTTTCACTTCATAGAAAAGTGTTTCACTATTTACCATTCAAGTGCAAAAGGGTCAGTATTCAGAGACTAGCTACACACTTTTCAGCCTCATGTACAGGCTATGACTTTTTTCAAAAATCTCAAAAGTTTTTTTCACTAGAGCAGTATAAATATTAGATATTGCATTGGTGCTAAGCCTGCAGCTGTGTACTCGTGTTTATGAAATGTAGTATCCAAATGGTGCCGCCTTTAAGAGCATGTTTCCCGTTTTAAGCAAACGAAGTGACAAACTGGACATTGTCCTTTTCTAGTGTCCTCTTCTCTTAAACTGAAAGATATTAACATCAGACTAAGTATTATTATGGTAATGAAATGTTCTTAAAGAGGGGTTCACTGGTTCGGGCACAGACACTGCTGTATTAGCTGACTACATTTTGGTAATGTGTGTTATAAAACTTGGCCACTGAAGAGGATCTGTTTGTCTGCATTGCTAGTTCTGTTGCAGTGTTACCTAAAAATATTTGCTGGCACATATTTCCCCATTGTACTGCATTTCTTAATGTGTTTTTAACCTAAGATTTTATGACAAAGTTAAGGTACTTTCACATTATGTGCTGAAGTCACTCAAATATGACTTTTTCCTCCTCCAGGTGACCCAGATTTGACCTTTTGACAGACATGCGAACAAACCAGATCAGAAGTTTTTGAAATCAGATCCGGTTCATATCTGATCTATGACTGTGTGACTGCTGTCAGAACAGTTGGATCAGAATTCATGTGGTTTAATGTTCTGCTCCTCTGTGCGTGTCACCTGTTGTCATCATTCAGTGTCATCCCCTCACAGACCAGTAAAAATAATCATGGAAGAGAGCAACGACAGCGATGGGGGGTCATTGGAGAGATGAGGATGTTTCACATTTGTTGGACATCTATGGTGAAACTTCTGATCAAGCCAAACTGAAACAAACTTATCATAACCAAGTGGTTTTTGAGGAAACTACGCAATTTGACTGTCGCACAAGTTGTTGTTGTTGTTCTAAAACAAACAAGGCTCATATTTTAGTTAAATCTGCACATGTGTGGCAGTTTAGGATGTCAGCGGGATTCAAGTTGGAGCTGGAATCATGTCACTGAATCTGACAAAAAGATTGAAATTGAGCTTTAAAGCCTATAATGCGATCATAGTATTAAGTCAGCTCCTGAGGTCTAGTGTAGTAATTGTGGCTGTCTTATATCTCTTAAATTTCTTCTTATGTTTATGGTTTGGCTCTGACTGTTTTTCTGGCTGCAGGTATTTGTGGAGTTTGAGAATGCTGTGCAGCGTTGCTCTTGGGTGCGGGTGTATGACGAAGTGGTGAAAGCTGTGTTGGTAGAAGACTCCATTGTTTGGGCCAGCCGGAGTGATGGTACTGGGATTACTGGTGCCCCAGCCACTGCCTGGCCTGCTCTGGTGAGTAATCATTTGGATAGTGGATGTGAATAACATGTTGAAGTAGGCCATAGTGACACTCAAAAAGTTAAGCAATTTACAATTTCTTGCTTGTACCACAGGTCAGATATGTAATGTGAACATAAAATCATGCAATACGTCGCATGCATTGGGATGTGTTTTGGGTCCATTTTAGATGTGAAAACAAATTGAAAAGAAATTGGATGAATCTTGATGTCAATTTCATACAATTACACATATTAGAAGGTTTGAAATTAGCATTCCCTCTCCTCTGGTGTCAGTTCCTGAACCCTAGACCGTTGTATGGGCTGCAGACACCTATCGCTGGCCAGGCCATTTGGCTGCACTTGTACTCCAGCTTCTGTCTGAAGTCACTTACTGTGGTCATGTGGGTATTATGAGCTGATAAATAAAATGATGTAAAATGGTTATTTTCCCATTGCTGATGAAATGAATGTAAATATGAGATATTTCTCTGCTGGGTCAAAGAATTTCATGGTGTTCTCTTTTTCCTCAGGCCTTCCGCTCCCTGGTGGACAGAGTGGGTTTAGGATCCTTGGTTCCTGTGGAGTATTTTGGAAACAAGAACTTTGATTTCCTGCCTGACAACAAAAATGTCCAGAGGTTTGAGGTGTGTAAGTTTGATTTATACAGTTTAATAATCCATAGGTAGTGTTGTTAAATGATAAAACAATTACTTTATAAACCATTTAGTTGATTGACAGAAAATTAATAACAATTTTGGAGTAATTATTTTGGATTTTTATTGATAAGTACCAAAAGCATTTTCTGATTCAGCTTCTGAGATGGCATTTCCCTGCTTTCTGTTTCAGTAGATTATAAATGTATAATTAATATATGAAATGACTTATTTGGGCTGGACATTTATTAATTTTGACATTGTTGAACTCAACAATAAACCAGTGCAGTTATAACAGCAGTGACTCTTAGTTGCAGCACTGGTGTGCTCTCATATAATATTCTCACACAATTTTTGAACCACATTATATCTGTACAGTTAGCAAAGTTTCAGGACAGAGTGCTCTGTGTCTTTGTACAGGTTGATAAAGACATAAGACACCCGTTGTTGTTGGAGCAGCCCTCCCTACAGGCTGCCATCTCCAGCTGGCGTACGGACTTTGAACTGCAGGAGATCTTCAGGAAGGGTGAGGCTCAACCTTGTTGTTTTCCTTTACCGTGTGTTTGTTGGGATGTTTTGTCTTAACAGTGTTTTCCACTAGAGTTTTTATTTGGGGCTCAAATTAGAAACCTTGCTGTTACTTTTCATAGGAAATTCATCAAGTGCAGTTTAAAAATGATGTTGAGCAGTGAATGCAGGTGGGCTAAGAACAGTGACTGCAAGTCATTGTGTTTCATGTTTTTTGATGAAACAGAATAGACACAATGTGCAACAGAGCTGGGTGTCCTGATATGGTAGTGAAGTTTTGAGTCTTCAAGCACAACTTATCTGCCCTGATTTAAATACAGTCTAGTGTACTGTCCATTCGACATCCCCTGTGTTTCATCTAAATCTGCCAGAATGCAACTCGAACATGTCACTGTTCCTACCTTCAGGCTCATTCAATATTCAAGGGCGCAGGGTTCGTGTGTACCAGCCAGAGTTTGAGGAATGCTGGGCCTCAGGACTGGTCTCACAGCACGACCATATCACACATCTTATGCAGATTACCTTGGACAAGGTAAATAATGCTTATGTGTTGCCTAAATATATTCTGGTCAGGGTGTGAAAGGAAGCCACTTAAAAAACACCTTTTTTCCTGTAGGGAGATGAAGCTCAGATGGTGGATCCTCGTGTGATGCATGTCATGCTGGCAGATGAGGAGGTGAGGTTGCCATACTTTAACAGTTCTCTGTAATTGGTTATACTGAGCTGTAAATTTTGTTTGAGGTTGAAGTATTTTCAGCATTAAAAAAATTATTACTTTCTGACATTTTCTTTCTTTTTAGCTTGGAAAGAATGGGCGGCGAAGGAAAGACAGTGAAACAGTGAAGGCCGATAGTGGATGCAGACGTAGGACTGCCTCCGGAGGTGAGGATGACTTCAACTTGAAACGTTTTAAAGGAGCAGGAGACGTGGGAGCTGATGCACAAAATTGTGGCGACACCAACAAAACCCTAGCGGAGGGGATGGGGATCTGGGGTGGTGACATTGGTGAAAGAGTCAGCAGCACAACCAAAAATGGAAGCTCTTCAGAAGGAACCGTTCCTCAGGGCCAAGCGTTGTCTCCCAGCACCAATTCTTCACTCCCAATGGATCAGTCACATGCTACTCCTCGTTATCCTGCCCACATCAAAGAAAATGGGCGCTCACTTTCCACACAAGGGGTAGCAGACTCCACCAGCAACCTTACTCACACCCCCACCCCTCCTCCTTTGAAACCAGCCCCTTCTCCCTTTTCCACCACATCTTTCCCCTCACTAGGCCAGATGCCAAACCTTGTCCCTGGTGCTCCTGCCCAAAAGGCCTCCACATCCCCTCAGCCAGACCGAGAGGAGGCCTCCCAGTCAGCCTATTCCAAAACAGCTGCTCTTGTTTCCCCGGGGCCTGTCACCATTTCCTGGTCGCATGACAGCAGCCCTAGTGTGGCACTTTCTGCTTCTGTGTCTTTTAGTCCTAAAGCCCCCACCTGGGGAAGCCAGACTGAGGTAAGCCAGTCAGCATGATCAGTACCATTATATGATACCTTTTGCAAGGCATCACAAGGCAAGGCATTTAGGTTCAGTTTTTAATATTTTACTTTACCACACTGTTTTGTTTCTTAGGTTTCTAAAACTGCATTGGGGTTTCGTTTGCCCCAGGCTGTGCCCACTGTTCCTGTTTTTGGAGATGTCACCTCTCAGACTAATGGAGCTCCTGCCCCTACCACAACCTCTCAGGACGCTCCCAGGTCTTTTGGCTTTGGCTTTTGTGGAGCAAAGAATGAGACTCAAGCCCAACAAGACCAAAACTTGTTTTTTCAGTGCATGACCCAGAGTTCTGGCTCCAGCCCTAGCCTGACTGCTGGTCAGGCCCAATCCAAGGACACCAATTACTTCACTGCAGTGTCTGAGAGCCTAAGTAAAGAGCCCCCATGCCTTTTCAAGCCTGCGGCCTCCACTGAAGGGCAGAAAAAACCTGAGCAGCACAAAGTGCTTGAGACTCATCCGACGGGAAATGGTGTGCTCAACAAATTGTCATCGGCCTTCCAAGGCATGGGTGGCTCAGCTGGAGGAAGAGGCTCCGAGCTAAGTATTGGTGGCCTGACTGTGGCCTCTGGAGTCCAAAATGTTTCTAAGAAGAGCTGTAATAATGGAACATCTGTGGCGGGCTTAGGGATGCAGTCTGGTTTTAATACTTCAGATAGCCACCAGAACCTTTTTTTGCAAGCCTCCAGCGAGCCTGCCAATCCATTTCTGGCATATGGGGACAAAACCTCCCACACGCCCTTTGCTGGTCTCAGTGGGGCTGAACCACAGACCCTGGGTGCTGCCTCAGACAGCAAGCCAAATCTGTTCACTATGGCAGAGCCACCTAAGGGGATTCTTTCTTCTTCTTTCCCAGCATTCTCAGCAGCTGCTTCACCCAGCTCTTCCTCATCTCCAGCACCGGGCTCATCTCTGAGGTCACAGAGTGAAGGGACTGTGACAGCAGAGGATCAAGAGGTTGAGGAGAGGCCTACATCCACCTCAGGCTGCCCCATGTTTGGAAGCACTGGCCCTGGTGGAATGGAGGAGGTGCCTGTGTCTTTTGACCAGAGCCAATCTCAGAAGTTTACACTGGAGGAAAGAGGTCAGTCGTCCAAACGTGACTCTGAATCCAGCAGCAACAGTGACCTGTCAGACCTCAGTGAGAATGAGGAAGGCCCAGAGAAGGGCCAGGTTCCAGGAGGGCCACCACACCCTACCAAGGATGGGGCCATGCAGCAGAAAAGTAAAGTCCAAGGAGCTGCTAAAAATCGTTCACGCAACAAGCCTTTCAAAGGTAAGTCTGGTCCACTGGTTAGAACAGAATCATTTGTGAGAACAAGCAGAATTAACATGAACTTGTCTCCTCCAGTTGGCCAGTCTGTGTTAAAAGACCAGAGCAAGGTCCGTCGTCTGAAGCAGTCTGGTGAGTCCTTTCTCCAGGATGGCTCCTGTATCAGTGTGGCCCCTCACTTGCACAAATGCCGCGAGTGCCGTTTGGAGCGTTATCGTAAATACCGAAGTACAGACGAAGATAGTGATGATGATGGTGACCCAAATGTTGCCTGTCGCTTCTTTCACTTCAGAAGGTATGAAGCAACAATGTCTTGTTTTCTGTATTTGAGTGTCATACAGGAAGGTTATCAGAATAAAGGAAGCACTCATCAGAAATCGTGATTTGATACTGAATTAACTCCCTCCCCCCACGATCAGATTGGCTTTTACCCGTAAAGGTGTTCTGCGTGTGGAAGGCTTCCTGAGTCCTCAGCAGAGTGATTCCATGGCTATGGGTTTGTGGCTACCTGCACCAGCTGTCCAAGAGGGGCTTGACCTTGATACATCAAAGTACATCCTGGCCAATGTGGGAGACCAGTTCTGCCAGTTGGTCATGTCTGAAAAAGAGGCCATGATGATGGTGGAGCCTCACCGTGAGTATAAAGATCTCTGACTGATCTCAGCTAAACCGATGTTTCCTTCACCTTATGTGTCTAGTAATCTTGTTTTGTGTCAACACTGAGCCTGTCAGAAGTGTCTATTTTATACTGTATGTAATCTTGTTGTTTTTGGTTTGTCTTGCAGAGAAAGTGGCCTGGAAACGAGCTGTGCGAGGTGTCAGAGAAATGTGTGATGTGTGTGAGACCACTTTGTTCAACATCCACTGGGTGTGTCGCAAGTGTGGTTTTGGAGTGTGTCTGGACTGCTATCGGCTCCGAAGAAACAGGCCAAGGGAGGGTGAGTCATTATTGTGACAACTGGGGACCCCTAGAGCCAGTTGAACTAGTTCAGTGTTGTTACTCTATTAACTGAACTGAACCGTGAAGATGTGTAGTTCTTGGGGAACCCCGCAGTGGGGTAGTCCCTAGAACTGTTTGGTCTGCAAGCACCTATTATGTTCTATCTTTTAGATGTAGATGAAGGTCTGGAGGATGAGGTTTTCTCCTGGTTAAAGTGTGCCAAAGGTCAACCTCATGAGCCACAGAACCTCATGCCTACGCAGATTATACCTGGGACAGGTAACACATACTTTGATTAAATTTTTAAAAAATCTATAAATCCACACCACTCAAGCATCAAGTATTATGATTTTGTATTGGTACATTAAGAATTGTGTTAATTGATTTTATTGCTTTATAAGCTCTTTACAACATTGGGGATATGGTGCATTCAGCGAGAGGGAAGTGGGGCATTAAGGCCAATTGTCCTTGTGCCAGTCGACACACCAAGCCTCTATTGCGCCCTAGTGCCCCCAATGGAATTTCACAGGTACTGCTGCACCACATCATTTTTTTGCTCAGTCTGCATTTCTGCTTTTTTACGTTTTTAACTTGAGTGCTCTAATATCTGGTTGTGCTTGTCTTGGCAGTCGACAACAGGCGGTGGCAGCAGCCTTGCAGCTGCAGCTTCTGGTCTCAGCACCACTCCAAAATCAGAGGGAGAAACACCAGCGATCAAAACAGAAACTACACAAACAGCAGTGCCATCAGACAGTGGGGGTGGGGAAATTGTGGGCAGTAGTTGTAACTCCACCAGTAGTACATCCTCCCACTGTAACCTCTCTCAGTCTACTGCCAAGGAGTCACGCTCATCAGGGGAAGGCAACAGCTCTGCTTTGCACTGGCTGGCAGACTTGGCCACACAAAAAGCCAAGGATGACACCAAGGGTAAGTAAGAAGAGGAAATGTTGAGTCAGTCTAATCTGAATGCACGTAGAAGTCAAAATCAGGATTCAAGTAACATCATCTTTTTGCCATCTTCTCCCAGAATCCGGTTCACTTCGCTCCATGATGAGTCGAGATAGCAGACCTCCGTTTGGCCTGGATTCACTTAGTGCCCTGTCAAAGCCTTCTGCTTCCAGCCCTAAGCTATTTAACAGTCTGTTACTGGGCTCTAACATGGCCCAGTCCAAACCTGAAGGGTCCAGTCTCCGGGATTTGCTCAACTCCGGACCAGGCAAACTTCCCCAGGGCCCCGGAGAGAGTGGGGTACCATTCCCTTCCGTCTTTACCTCAGCAGGCGTACGTATACAACTTTTATTATTCAGTGTAGTTTTATTATCCAAGTGTACACATCTATACTAAAAGGAATATCAGTTTCTGAACCAGTTCATAAACACTTCAGTCAGTTCACACCTTTACACAGGTTACATCTGTTTAAATATGGAAAGTGTTTTATCATGTCAACACCTAATTATGTTTTGGTGTATTATTGGCACATCTCTCCTACAACACTACATTGATAATTAGTATACTCTCAAACTCTAGGGAGTCAACTAATCTCACTAAACTCACCTCAACATTTTCAACAGGAGCAACAGACAAGGTAAAAAAATATTAAGATTAGACATAAGGTGTAGTAACGAACCATAACATTCACTTTGAAAATTCCAAGGTGGAAAGTACTAAAAATACATTTTACTTCTAAAAAAGATGAAGCTTTTACATAAGATTATTAACATGTAAATACAATTATATTAACTTGTAAATGCAACTACATTGCTGGGTAACACAAACCTTCTCTTTGTCAGAGTGACAAGCTGAAGAGCAGCCTCCCAAACTTCCTGGACCACATTATTGCCTCTGTTGTGGAGACCAAGAAGGCAGAAGGCCGGCGCAGTGGGGGCTCTGAAAGTGGCGAGCTTGGTGTGTTAGGGGGGCGCAAAGATGGTGTAATGGGCCTTAGTGTTTTGGAACCACATACCTCTCATTCCTGGTTCTGTGACGGACGACTCCTCTGCCTACAGGATCCTAGCAACAGCAATAACTGGAAGATCTTCAGAGAGTGTTGGAAACAGGGACAAGTAAGAAGCACAATTGGTTATTAACTTATTATTAACTTAGGTTGTCTCAGAAATGTGATAAAATACAGCAGAGCCAGATTGTGCTGGGTTAGAACTTTTACTGCACTGATCCTGCCATCTGTCTAATCTCTCCTCTGTCCTTCTCTGTGTCCAGCCTGTGTTGGTGTCGGGGATACATAAACGTCTGAAAGCTAATTTGTGGCGGCCCGAAGCCTTCAGTGATGAGTTTGGAGACCAGGATGTAGACCTGGTCAACTGTAGAAATTGTGCTATCATCTCTGATGTGAAGGTGCGAGACTTCTGGGACGGCTTCCAGGTCATCACCAGTGAGTGCCCAAACTACTTTCCCTAAATCACCATCAGTGTTTGGCTTGATGTGCTGACCGCTATATTTTATTGCCAGTTTCTTTTATGCCAGTCAAATGGTAGCTAATGGTTTTTTTTGTGAATGCAGAGCGACTTCAAGATGCTGATGGCAGGCCCATGGTGTTGAAATTAAAGGACTGGCCCCCAGGTGAAGACTTCAGGGACATGATGCCCACACGGTGAGGAACCCAGAATTAGTTGCTTCTTATGTTTATCGTGCATTTGCTCGCCAAACCAGCCATCCATTTTACCCCCATTGAGGTTATTTACAAATATGCATTACAGTAGTTATCATCATTATTATTACCAGAGGTTGTACTATGTGACTTATATAAATAAAACAGAAAAAAAGATGTAGGAATGTCTTACAAGCTGAAATGAGTTTCATTTTTTAAAAATGACAATCTATAAGTAGCATGTGGAATGTGTTGCATGTATAATGGATTTGTGAGAAATTTCCTACAAGACAGTCAGTAAATTTACTGTTTATTAGCTTGTCCATGTTAGTGATCTCTAGGCCATTCTGTTGATTTGATGATTTGTACATTATTGTGTAAAGGCACAAAACACACTGGTGAATCCTACTTGTGTAAGGTCAGTAATTTCTTTGAACTCTCATGTTTCCCAGGTTTGATGACCTGATGGAAAATCTGCCTTTGCCTGAGTATACAAAAAGAGACGGTCGTCTAAACCTCGCTGCTCGTCTGCCCAACTTTTTTGTGCGTCCTGACCTTGGACCCAAGATGTACAATGCCTATGGTGAGAAGGATTGGCTGAGTCTGACACGTTTCATTCCTTTTCAACTAATCTCCCTCACCCTCCCTCCATTATATCTTGTATTTGTCTTCATCTTGATCTTCTGCGTCCTTCATTCCATCAGGCTTAATCTCGACTGAAGACAGGAAAGTGGGAACTACTAACCTTCATCTGGATGTGTCTGATGCTGTCAACGTCATGGTCTATGTTGGCGTACCTGAAGGAGATGAAAACCAGGAGCAAGGTCAGTAGACTTAAACACAGATTTTATTTCTGTCTCTTCCTCTCTGTCTTAAGTCTCTCACTCACACACTCACATTTAAATTACATTCATTTGTAGCACGACACTGTTAATTGAGCCACTAAATGTTATCAAAAGCACAACTTAGTTCCTAAAACAGTAATTTTATTATGTAAAAATAATGTATTTACCATGTCACATGCAAATTATTTGAGTTTTCCCCATACCAAATCTAGAACATTTTATATAAGTAGGATATAAAAGAGAACTAATTTCAAACTTTGGATATTACCTAGTCGTCTTTCACCTAACTGAGCCCTCGTGAACAAGCTTTATGAGTATGTTGAGAGCTGCGTTCCATACAGCATGCTTTTAATGTTTTCATTGCTTCAGGCTTAATTAACTTGGATAGGACCATGAAAAGACCCTCCAGTGGGTCTGTCATTTACATTGTGGCAAAATTTCTCATTCACAGAGGCAGATATCTCTGGACGCAAAGGTCTGTAGACTTTCAGTTGTATCACTTCAGTAGCATGTCCTTCTTCTTGACTAACTCCCGGTCTTCACTCCTCCCCCCCATTTTGTGTTATTATCTGCGCAGTAGGGGCCAGAGCACTGGGACCTGACTGGGCTGTTAGTTTCTAATGTGGCATGTTTTTTGTACCCCACTCAACATTTCCATGTATTTGCAGTCTTCATTAACATCTTAATCAAGTTAGGGACGTATTGAAATTCCTGC